TTTTGGTATGAAATTTATTATAACAGTATTTGGTATCTAATCGGATGTTGTTATGTAATTTTTTCCTATATTTAATGTCGTTATGTATCAGTATTTTTATACCCAAAAGCGTTGGTTAAAAAAATTAAAAACTGAAAAATATTGTTATTACCAGCGACACCATCATTAGCGGCGACATAGGCATTAGTGCCGACACCAAGTAGTGATGGTAATAGGAGCATTAGCGGCTATAATTATATTTACCAGTAACGTTTTGATCAATAGCGGTGATTTTTGTTTCTATTCTAAAAGACCAACATAACCTTTCAACAAACATGTGAGACGTCATAACAAATCGATAAGATTTTAAAACGGACCCTTCATAAAGTAAATCTATTTGAAATAATATCTAGAGGAAACACATTGTTTTCACATTGCGCAAGAGATTAACTATGCACAACATGTTAAAGACTGTCTTTTAGTTTGAAATTTTTTGGTTTGATGCTCATCAGAATAAAATACATTCCTTTCTTCTCACGACGTACTGTAACGACCCAACTTTTTTTACAAAGAAAATTTTCACTTTTGAGTTAATCAAACCAATCTAATAAACCATAGATTCCCAAATATATGTTTTCAAATTAACATTCATTACATCTTGGTTTTCCTTTTTTAAAACACCAGAGGGTATCAAATACATTAAAAAGAGAGATAGAGTGCGCGTCATGTCATCACGTCGGGCCCTTGCCGTTGGGCTCAGAAGTATTTGAAACAAATCAACAACCTTTAAGCGAAATGCTTAGTGAGTTTCCCAGAGCATACCACACACATTCACATATACAATCCTGTTAGCTAATTAAAGCTATAAACATGCCACAGAAAACATGCAATACAGTCCAACAAGAATGTCATGGTCTACCCCACATGGTCTTTACCTAGGACTGCTATGGGTTACCCCGCATGGCCTTACATCCAATTCCATGGGCTACCCCACATGGTCTTTACCTATGAATGCCATAGGCTACCCCACATGACCTTATATCTAATGCCATGAGCTCCCCCAGAGGTCTTCCATACCAACATAATATCACATAACATATCAATTCATAAATGAATAACACACACATAACATGTATATATAATGGGCTGGCCTTGGTGTCGTAGACCCATAGGTATGGTGAAAAGACTCACATATGTCCGCTAAATACGAATGCTGCCCTCGTAATAATTCGCATCCTCCCAAGTTGAATGACAACAATAATACTACAGTCAATGATAGGGCCTTAATTACCCAAGTAAAGGCCCAACCTTCAAAGTCTACCCCTAAGGCCCAATTACCCTTTTCTTGAAAATGGGCCCTAAAGTCCAAGTCCAATACCCTTTATGGGCCCCTTGGCCCAATAAGGCCCAAACGATAAGTCCAAGGTCCAATCAAGCCCAACAACCAAAAGAGGCCGAAAGGCCCAAAACAGCTTAGGGCCCAACTGAGCTGCGTATGCCCAGCGTACCACCCTGGTACGCGCAATGTACTGAAGGTTTGGGCACTACGCGCTGCGTAGAACTGCTTACGCCCAACGTACAATCAACTTAAGCACTTTTTCCATTAAGTTCTTAATGCTCGATTCCATCACGTCCAAAAGTCAGATCTAGACTTCTTCAAGAATCCTAAGGAGTAAAGTTGCCAACTTATGCCCTTGTATGTCTCATAAACACCCAAAAATTCCATTAAGACCTTTTTAAGGTCCTTAATCTATGCATGAGACTAATACATCCATCAAGATCCCATTTTTATGCTTCTAAATGACTAAGGGATCTCAGATCTGTCATTCCCACTTCATGGAGTTTCTTAACTCACCATAAGAGGTCCAAAACCAACCAAAAGGGGGTAAACTAGAAAACCCTAGCTAGATCTAAGAATTTAGATGGAAAGGTGCAAGCTTTTTACCTCTAGAAGTCTTGCAAGATGACCACAATATATATTCTTGAAGCACCAAACCGTTCTAAGCTTGCCTAGCAACTCCCCTTCTTGAAAGAACTCCAAAATGCTAACCAAAACCCTCTTCTTAAGCTCAAATTCTCAATCACACTCTATCTCAGATAAAAGCATAAAATGGGGTTAAGAAGGCTGATAGGGTTTGGTCCTAGAGGCCATAAGATGTTTAAATAGGGGTTAAGTCTGGATTTAGGGTTTTGGCCTTCTCTTGCGTACCCTCGACGTACCCTTACGTATGCCCCGCGTACGCGGAATGCCCCCATGATAATTCATGCAGAGTACGCTAAGCGTACTCATAGGTACACCCAGTGTACTCCAAGGGACCATTTATGACACAATTGGAATTTCTCGAGGGTTTCCAAGCGATACCTGATTTAGGGCGTTACACGTACATTATCACGTCGATATTGGAACCAGTTAAATATGTTTTTCTTTGTTTTTTAGTTAGTGTTATTTTAATTTGATTGATTGTTTATCTAATATTCCGTTCAATATCATTAATTAGATATCTTTTTAGTATGATTCCATGATATATTGATTTTTTCATTTTATCTTGATACATGCATGGAGAGTCATTATTGTAGGACCTTTATATAATAAGCATAATCGGTACATAACCCATAAAAATAAAGGATGGAAGGTCGATAACTAATAAAGATAAAGGGTATGAGGCCAAAAAGTGTTGGTACGGCCCGACATGGGGGTATCAAGTCTCCAAATCTTGATTTGAATGTGATCATGCATTATATATATATATATATATATATATATATATATATATATATATATATATATATATATATATATATATATATATATATATATATATATATATATATATAAAGTATGTTGAAATTAAAGATTTTTTTATCAATATGTTTTGATAGTTTATTGTGTCTAAATCCATATAGGTATCGAGACAATATTGTCTTACATATTCTAATTTAAAGTAAATGTATCTCAAGTACAAGTTACTTAGCATTGGATAGAAGAGTTGAAAGTATAGAAGCCAGACAAGACATTTATAGATAAACGTGATGAGGGGAAGATAGAATGTCTCCCTGGACGTTATAGTTATGTATTATTTTATATGGAGAGTATGTTTAGGTTGAGTAAAACCTTCATATTGATGGAATGTAATGGTTTAACATGTATATAGTGAATTCCCGAGCATCGCATTGTAAAAATCTATGTTGATTCAAATTATTGCAAATATATTACGTAAAATACGATAATATAATTAAATGTTGATAAGTGCATGGATGTTAATACAAGAAAGTGACCCTTTGAGCTATCCGGGTTTAGTGGTGTCCGAGATTGTTCCGAGGTCAGTGTTCATCCGAGATTTTGAAGATTCTCAGAATGATGAATGTCCGAAGTTAGATAATGATAGAAAAACAATGAAGATTTGTACTTTTTGTCTGATTATATTTGTCTTATTTTATGTTATAGTCGTAGGAGACAAGATTGACCTCCACACATTGTCAGGCGGTTGAGATGCAGTCCACGTTTAGTACTATTGTCTCTTGTTTGTATTTTAGCTCCTTAGTCACTATAAATAGGAGCATACTACTTCATATAACAGTGTGTCTTTTGATCAAATAGAAACTTTGTTGGAGCGTTATTTGTTCTGGTGATGAAATGAACGAGATCGATGCCAAGTAAGGTTGAGTGGACATGCTTATGTCATACCGAAAAATTGTCTCTAGTAAGGTTGACGTTAAAGTGGACGGAAGCAGTATGTAGAACAACTACGATTGGTATCATGGAGGGTGTTTGATCAGAAAAGAAGGAGGTGCAGAGGGTCAATTCTCGTTTGAGATTGGTTGCTGTGATAACATATGAGATTTTGATTTGTGAGTGGAAAAATGCTCTATAATATTAGACGGAATACAAATGCTATAAATAGCTATTTACAAGATACATACAATGGTAAGAGAGAGAGATCTAAGGTTATTTTTATGATAAATAATAAAAACCCTAATAACTATCTAAATATAGCTAAAGGTGAAAGGAAAATATAATCAACACACTCAATGAGTAATAGTTTCCTTAATAAGAAGTGGTGCCCTACTCACTTTTCAGATTTTATATTTTTGGCCATGTTATTATTTTTTTATGAACCGGTCTAAACTTACTTTTTTTTTTTTGATAAATAGTTTTTTCAATTTCTTTGTTTTGATAAATAGTTTTTTCTTTAACTTATTTTCTCTATGTTTTTAAAACTTACTTTGTTTTGATAAATAGTTTTTTTTTAAATTCTTTTACATCTTTTACACCTATCTTTTTATAAATTCATAATTACAATTCTTTTTGGAGAATTTGTATTTTTCATATTCACTTTTATGTTTGGTTCTTATTTAGATTTTCCCTTATAAAAGTTCTTTTTTTTTTTTTTTTTTCAAATTCATTTTCTGTGTTTTTTCACATAACAGCTTTCATGTATATTGTTGGTTAGGAAAAGATATAAGAATTAGTGTCTTTTAAATGTTCGTTTTCCTAGTCAATATGCATTTTCCTTTATGATTGTTTGTAATCCTTTTTAAATCATGTCCTCCTATAGTTATAAGGGTTTTCAAAATACAATGCTATAATTATGTATGTGTTTACATAATATTGTGTTGTGTATGGTTGTCTATGTATGTTTCAAAAACAAAAAGTTCATTGCTATTTTTGTTTGGGAAAATGACGTATAGGCCCTATAATGTTTCTAGGGTTGACCCATTTAGCCACTTAACTTATTTTGTGGCTTAATAAGGGAACGAAGTATTTGTTACCTAACAATATAGTCCCTTTTACCTATTGTAGCCGGTTAACGTTGCCACATAACACTAGCCTAACACGTAAGCGATGACATGGCAAGAATTTAAAGTGTCGAACAACCGCAACGACGTTTTATTGAAGGCGAAGCGTAAGGAGCAAGGATCGACTGTTCAAGCGCCTCCATATAAAATGAAGACTTCATTGACCTAAAACGGCACATCTGCAAACTTCATTATCCCAATCTCGTCTCTAAGTTTATTCCAAAATGACTTCGATCGGACATGCAGAACGCAACTGGTCTCCAAATTACAGCCGTCACATGGATGAGAATCATTCGAATGGTGTAACGAACGAAGACATGGCCATCAATCTACTGCAAACCCAGCTGGAACTGTCTGTTATACGAGAGGAATTCCAAGACCAGTTGCGTGAGCTCCGTCGGATAGTTGATCGAGACTTGGATGCCATGAACCGTGAGGTCGATGACGTTCGTGCTGGTCAGTTGGATATCTCAAATGTTGTTGTTGATCTTAAAAATCATTCCGTTTCTCTGCACGGAGCATATGTGAAGACGGTCTCCAAGTACAACAAACGTAACAAGCTGATGTATTGTGTTGGGATTGTTGGTGTTGTTTCTACGTCTGTGGTGACGTATTTGGTGTTTAAGTAAAAAAATGTTGTGTAGGTTGAAGCATTTCAGTCCTGGGTTTGTGTTTTGGTGTGTTATTTATATTGTTTAGTATATATTAGTAGTAGATTTTGCGTGGGTTGCTGGTATTAGTTTGTGATGTTGGTGTGTAGATTTGGTGGTGGTGTTGCTTGGGCTGCTAATGGTCATCGTTTTTTGATGATGTTTTTTGTCGATGATATCTGTAATAGGTTATTGCATAGCAGAAAGCGATGTAAACAAACCCATGGCTGGAATGTGTTTTAATATGTTATTATTATAAAAAAAATTGTCTTACACCTGTATCTATATGTGTGCATGAAAGAAAGAAACATTTGAGTATTATATATGTTTCATCGACTAGGACGGGACCACAAGCCAAAGCAAAATTAGTATACCTTCTTTATGCGCATAGACAGGGACCACAAATGGTGCAGTTTGGGAAAAAGGACAAAGAATACCTTTACACACGATTGAAGCATATCTGCAAACCTTTTTTGGAAAGAAAATGGAATCAAGTTTTTCATGTTGAATGGATGAAGTCACAAGTACCTTGTTTTTTACAATGACTTAATTACCCATGCATTAAAAATGGTCAATTTAATTTGTAATGACTTAATTATCCCTACATCCAAAATGGTCAATTTAATTTCTAATGACTAAAATGCCCCCACATCCAAAAATGGTCAATATAATTTGTAATGACTAAAATGACCCCTACTCCTGTAAATGGTCAATATAATTTGTAATGACTAAAATGCCCCCACATCCAAAAATGGTAAATTTAATTTCTAATGACTGAAATGCCCCCACATCCAAAATGGTAAATTTAAATTGTAATAACTCAATGGTCTATTTACTTTCTAATGGCTAAAATGCCCATAATACCCCTAAATGGTCAATTTACCACATAACAAAACAACATAGTACACCATAAAAGAACATACAAAGATAATTTGTTTATTGCAATACACATTCACTACAAATAACAGACAATTATTTAATCTAACTCTATGACCGTTGCAACACTGCTACCTTCACCTCCCACATTTTTTGCAAGCTTCAGTTTAATGATTTGTTCTGACTTCTTTCGCATTTTAGGAGGTTTAACATGCTTAACTCGAGCATTGATGTTCACACCTTCATCCTATCCATTGACTCCCACCATTCGTTGTTCATCTCCAAGCCTATCCACAACACCAGTAACATCTGCCATTACCTCATCATCCCCTACTCATGTGGCAACGTTTATAGACTCCTGGGTAGGTGTAGGTTTTTATTTCTTTGTTCCATTTTGTTTGGATGTCCCTACACCTTTACTACAAGTATCCTTGTTGTGTCTTTTCTCCTTGCATATGCTACAAGAAACTTTCTTCCCTGCCTTGGAGACGGTATGTTTTCCCATCCGTTCAGAAGCATCTCTTCTTCTCTTTATGGTTGGCCTTCCTGGCATACGTCTTTGCAATGGAGGCAAAGGGGGTATCAAGTCAGTAGAAGGCCACATATTTTTTCCATTCATTCCATGGATTGGCTGTTTGTATGTATTATGGTATAATGCAGCCAAGTACATTGGATCTACATATGGACCATCAGGTGTCAAATTTAAGTAGGCTAAGGTGGCAACTGAGTGTACGCAGCCATATCCATTAAGTTGCCATAGCCTGTAGCTGCATTCCTTTTTTTCAACATCCACAGTAAACACCTCGTCTATTTTCCTTGCCTCAAACTTCATTCCCCCACAAGAAATGACATGCCAATGCCTACAGATATAGATGAAAATCGCAAATATCATGAGATTTGAAGAGTAAAGTACTAATGTAATTGGATAAATGTACAAACCTTTGCTCAGTTTGGAGCATATTCAACCGTATTCTGATATTTGGACAAACAGAATAACCATTCCATCCTTGACCGGTTAGTTTCATAGTCACCATCCTTTGCATCACATATATACGAATGTCCTCTAACATGCTTATTATTGGTTTCTTCCGGGCATCCAAAATCACACTATTAAAACTCTCTGAAAAACCATTCTCTACTGACTCACAAGAATTATGAACTCTGAAAAGTGCCAAATACTAAGTCTTTGGATCTCTAACCATAAGATGCACAACTGCTTCCAGATTTAATTTTCCAATCTCTTTCATAACTACATTAAATTGTGCTTCAGTTGTTGCCTTGCTCACTTTCCAAAACAGATTTTCAAACTTGGATCCACTAAATGTCTTTCTAAAATTCACATAGATATGTCTAGCACACTGCCTATGTTCAGCTGCTGGAAATACTTCCTTTACTGCCTCAATCAAACCCTACATAAGTCACATTAATGTTTGAAATTCGAATAGCAATAACTAAATTTAGAACAGGCAATAGTTTTGAACCATACCTTGTGTTGATCCGAAATTAGAACCAAACTGTTACCATCATTCCAACATTGCAAATCTTCTGAAAGAGTTTCTAAGAACCATTTCCAATTCTCTTTGTTTTCCACAGAAACAACTGCCCAAGCAATGGGGAATATTCCATTGTTAGCATCTCTACCCACAACACAAAGTAACTCCCCTTGACAAAAAGTTTTCAGAAAACAACCATCCAGGTTAACGATCCTCCTACATCCTCCCCTCTATCCCTCTTTTACTGAAGCAAAACATATATATATATATATATATATATATATATATATATATATATATATATATATATATATATATATATATATATATATATTTGCTGAAATAATTCTTACCATCAGGCATTGAATCAACACAAATTTTAACTGTGGATCCAGGATTTGATCTTCTAATCTCCTCACCATATGACCATAATCTTGCATAATTCTCAACTATTGTCCCTTCAACTAGACTCAATGCATACTTCTTGGCTCTCCTACACTGACTCATACTCACGTTAATCCCAAAATCTGTTTTTACCTCCTCTCTAAGTATTCAGACGCTCATCTTTTGATTGTTATAAAATTGGTGCTTAAAGTGGGTCCCTATCCATTTGTAAGTCACAATTGATCCGAATTTGAAATTCTTTGCACAATTAGGCTCACCGATAAGAGATTTTATTTGGAAAGACTTATCTTCACTCATCCAAGAACCCCAAAGCCTAAAAGTACATTTGTCATCACAGCATTTGACAAGTAATCGTCTAGTATCATTCTTAACAAAACATAATTGATAACCATTCGCGACAGCATAGTTACAAAACATGTGTTTCAATTGCTTAGGACTCTCAAACCTCATACCTAAAACAGGTTCCTGCTCTTTCCAATGGAGCTTATCATTGAAAATGTTTGGCAATTCGGGATAAACATCTTCATTGTCACCCATGTCTTCTTCGAAAAACTCACCTGCACCTGCTTTCTCACCCATCTCTACCTGAATCTCATTACCCTTTATAAAAAAATGAGGCTTTTGATGGTTATCCTCATCGCCATCGACATCCTCATCCTCGTCGTCATCATTGTCGCCATTCTCTACCTCATCGTTCGTGTCACCCACATCCCGATACCCTGGTGCAACTTCCTTAACCAGTCCTGCACCATCAAGTACTTCTTCCTCAACGTTACCAACAAACTCGTCTTTGTATTCATCCAACCATTCATGTATGTTACAATCCCCAAAATGGTCTACATACATAGGGAGTATAACACCACATTCATATGCAATTTCAATGAAGTCGTAATAATCGGGGTCATTGCAAATTAGAGTCAAACCTTTTGGAAAATCAATATCAGGTTGACAGTAATAGAGCTTCTCACACTTTTCCCCAGTGAATCTTTCGATGAATGCAACACAGCCATCCTTGTCCATTCCTGCGAAACCGATGTCCGAAAACCTCTGAGTAATTCCACCGGTGTAGTGTATGAGGTTTCTGGCGAACATTCCTTGGAAGTGGACATCTACTTGTAAGAATACGAGTTTCATGCTTGAGGATTCAGAAGCAGCTCACAAAAAAGGGTTTACCGATGAAGTGTTGAACATTGGATGTAAAATGGCTCTTTTATAAAGCATATACCGACATTACAAAGGAGACGACTAATTAATGACATGGCATTAGACGAAAGTCACAGTTAACATCCGACGTGGTGTTAGTAGAAGGAGGTGGACTTGAAATGACCGGCTAACCCCTTCAAAATTGAAATAAAGACTTAATCGACCCGACAAAGAGTAATTCGTTCCATTATTAAGCCACAAAATAAATTAAGTGACTAAATGGGTCAACACTAGAAATATTATAGGGCCTATATCATTTTCCCTTTTTGTTTTTGCCAAACACAATTGCTCTCTCTAAAAGAGTCAATTTTAACAAAAAGTATTGTTATAAATTGTCTCAGAAAAGCAGAATATTACAACCCACGTTCTCTTACAAGACTTGGATACACGAATCTTAAAAAAGAAAGAAAGAACAGTTGTATGTGTACGAAAGTTTATCCGTGATATGTGATTAACTTATACGACGACACAAAGTGATTCCATCGCCGACCGGAAGTTGGCAAATCTCCACCCTCGGATCAACGGCCAATGCCTTGTTAAGCTCTAACACGAAATCTCTGTAATATCTAACATACTTCCTGAGTGGTGCATCTGGTGGGGCCACTAAAGAACCGTTCCAAAGGGTGTTGTCGTAGCCAATGACACCTCCAATTTTGATAAGGTCAATTAACCTTTTGTGGTAGTTAAGATAGTTGTCTTTATCAGCATCCACAAAAATAAAATCAAACGATCCATGAAGTTTCACCTGTAGTTCAAAATGTGCAAAGCAAAATGAGTTTTCATAATTTGGAGAAAATATATATTAAAAAAAAAAAACAATATCTTTTATATGTTTGTAAGTACTTACATCATTGACCATTTCATCAAGAAGAGGAAGAGCAGGGCCTTCTCTAAAATCAATCTTGTGTGCAACACCGGCTTTCTCGATGATCGGAAGGCCAATTTCATAATTTTCACGGTTTATGTCCAAAGCCAATATCTTTCCATCCTCTGGGAGAGCAAGGGCCGTAGAAAGAAGGGAATAACCAGTGTAAACACCAATCTCCATCGTGTTCTTGGCATTTATGAGTTTGAGCAGTAGATTCAAAAATTGCCCTTCATCCGCAGATGTCGTCATAAGATTCCTATATGTCAAATGATAAGCAGCAAAAGATTTAGAAAAATGAATCCATAAATATTCTGTATATAGTAAACTTTGGGTGAGTTAAGGCACTTACCATGGGTGTTTAGCAGTGACCTCACGTAGCTCTTTCATGGATTCTGGCTCTCTCGGGTAAACGCTGGTTTCCAGAATGTATTGATAGAGAGCGTCGCTTTGAAGGAGGCTCTTGTGGCCAACTTCTTGGTGTTTTGCGGGTTGAGCTTCTCCGGTAGCCGCCATTCGGATGGATATTGGTGCGTGAAATGTTAGTAGGTATTATAATAGGCTGTAAAAGTGAACCTGAGATGAAAGGAGAAAACTTTTCGAAATATATAGGGAAGGGAGTTGGTGAATTATGACCGAGGAAGGTGGTGGCATGGTCCTTTCGATAGTGGGTGATCAACATGTTGACTTGGCCAACCAACATGGACAAGTCGAGTCAATACTCAGGAGTTGGTAAGCTCCTTTATTTGATATTATTATATCATGCTGACTTCATTTGTTCCTTTTAAAGCCTTGGACGTTGTTAATTAGATGGAGATTGCGTAACTTACATTGAGTAGTGGATTAGTGGAATTATTTCTGATTTTAATCAGTTAGCGAGCGGCTAGAAGGTTAAAGCTCCTGCCCCATTAGTAACTCCAATGTTTCCTAAATCTATAAACTCTAAAGTTACGGAAATTATGTGAAAAATAGATATTAAATTGAATGTCGTATATGACAAGCAAAATAAAAAGTAATATGCTCTCATATATTTTACTTGATATTTAAACATTATCACTTCTGCATAGTTTAAATATGACCATGATGATTCAAGAAAATACCGGTTAATTCATTTGTATTAGATATTAGATATTATGATACTATGACCCTTGTGATACTCTAATACATTTTTAATGTATGAGTTCTATAGAGTTTTATGTATTACCAACTTATTATTTTATCTTTTATACATTATTATTATTATTATTATTATTATTATTATTATTATTATTATTTTTTGTATAATACTTTGAAATCTATAAAATTCAACTAAACATATTTAGAAAAAAATTAATATTACAAAACCTAATTTATTATATTCATTTAGTGATTATAAAAGTTTTCTTTTTTCTTTTTTGAACGAGCACATTATCATTGAATTTCGTATTCATTACATTTATGCCATTTAATTTTTTTTATTAAATTTCTTTAATTAAGTTTGGCCATATGATATTGAAACTTTTTCTTATTCTCTCAATAGTATTGAACGTATCATAGGTTTGTCCGGTTTTATTATTTTATTTTATTATTGTTATTATTATTTTTTTGTGGAATTTAGTCCTCCATATAATAAGATATGTCAAGGTCTTAAGGATATAATTAACTTCTAGTTTCCATAGATTTTGACAATCAAATCATAGTTCATTCTGAATTAGAATCTGATCAAGAATCTAATTCTTAAAAGAGTTCCTTGTGGTAATTAGGTGTTAGATATAATCTTTTTAGAAAATCTAAAAAGTTTAAAAACACCAAGCTAAATAGATAGTAGCCAAAAAAATAAAAAAAATAAAAGTGGAAGTCTATAACAAATTAAGCAAGCTAAAAGCATGTTACTACATCATAAGATCTATCTAAGGTTTGACAATCCCGATTTACTACACATATATACAAGGTTAAAATCTTTTGCCAACCCATATTATCCCGCAAACCCTTCTAATCTTACGTATTATTTTGTCCAATATTCTTTTTCAAAAATCGACTTAATGCATTAGGTTGCTCATACTTAAGTGTTTTGGTAAAATAAATCTTAAAAATGGGTGCATATATAGGAAGGTTTCATATATGCATTTTTGTTTCTAACATACATAAAAAATACACTTACTTTTATGCATATATGCTTGTTTTATATGTGCACATTTATTAAAATATAATTATGAAAACACTTAAATAAGAGCTAGCAAAAGCATTAAGTCACTTTTTTTTGGAAAAAATTATTCGGCAATGAGTTCGCATGATAATAAGGTTCGCGGGATACTACTGATTCACAAGAGATTTTGACTCTCTTTCTCTCTCTCTCTCTCTCTCTCTCTCTATATATATATATATATATATATATATATATATATATATATATATATATATATATCTTTACTATATTATTAAGCATATTGCTCATATCTTGAAAATTAAGAGGTATACATTTTATAACACCATATACAATCCTATTAAGCTTACAATGTAAACGTATACACGTACGTATCATCGTAACGTACGACCGTAGCTTCTCCTATGTCTGTGGTAAATCCTAATATCCTCTACCCACTTTCAGTCGTCATTTCTTCAAAATCTATTCCGTCTGCCTCCTTACTTTCTTCAATCTCCGATAGGCGTCCATTGCCACCACCCTCCTAAAGTCGTCGCTATCGCCACCCTCCCGACGTTGTCGTTACCTTCACTGGCGTCTGCATCCCCGCTTATACCTTATGTCTAGAATAGTTGACCTGAAAGATGAAGCTAGATAAAGATTCCTCAAGCATAAAGGTAGTTTTTGTAGGTTTTCACATTCCCTATCAAAATGCAATCGTTGAATTATTCTCACAACTTCATTAATATTATTCTTTTGAACTATGTTGAACTTTATAGTTACTAGAAACTTCAATCTAGAGTTTTCCAAAGAAGGGTTTCTTCCATGGACAGAGCTCCTATCAATATTATGTACACTCTAATTGAAAAAAAAAATATTCAAAAGGCTTTTCTAACAATACCTTGGATGATGGTTATTTTTATAACATTTGGTAGGGATGAAAACTCTCAACCTATTCCATGCCATTGGTCATTGGAAAATAATCTATTTGACCAAGTTACTTCATTGACCTTTTGCTACATTTGGTTAGCTTTTCCTTCTTTGAAAAATATAACGAGAAAAGGCGTGTTGGAGTAATGGACCAACATATATGGTCTTAATATATATTTAATATACAGTGTAATATTTTAAAAGATTATTAAATAATTTCAAAGTTTTGATCATTTCAAGGACAGAGTAAAAGATATATTTCTATGCTATTTTTTAATCTAAGATACAAGTGGTGGTAATGTGTTAAATAGAGAAAAAAAATGGCCAAATAGCCCTTGTGTGCAAAGAAGATGAACATGCTTAATGGATTTGAATTCATGGTGTAAGTGAGAGTAACCCAAACTGAATGAAACTTGAAAAAGAACAAAAAAAAGGACCAAAACCAAAAAAAATTAAGTAATCACAAGGACCAAAAAATACATTTTACTCTTATCTTTTCTTCTTTTTAGCGCCTTAAGATTAAATTTTAGTTTATCACTCTTATGCTGCAATTTGGGCTCCATTGGAGGTAAATCTTGAAGATATGGTTCATTTTGCAATGCAAAAACCACATGTATACATTTGTAGAAATAATCCTATTTCTATGGTACATATTTAATTATTTAGAATGATTCTTATATGTTCCATTTTTTGGGGAAAAAAACTTGGCTTCTTTCAGATGATGGCTTCATATTCAGTATCTGATGTTGTGTCTACATACTACTTGTATATGACTTATTTTCATCCCTTCATTTTCTCCCTTGCAACTATAATACCAATGCCTCTTGATGAAGTCTTCCGTAAAGGAAGTCGGACCCTCTGTAAGAATCTTCTTATGGTCGAGGTATGTGGTTTGGATGTGTATTATTTAAAGGGTAAATTGCAAGAAATATTTTTAATTATTTTGGGTATGATTTAATATATTTTTGGTACGACTTATGACAATTATTAAATTGATTTTTAAATTATTTTAGTATATGTGTTAATGTGTAGTATTTATGATATGATATCAATTTGTTAATGTTAGTATTTTTAGTCTTATAGTATCTTAATTAAAATATTATAATAATGTGATTAATTCTGGTATACCCCCACATGATCTTCGGTTAAAAACCGGGTGCCCAGTGATACTTTTGCGAAATATCGATCCCTCAAATGAGTTATGTAATGACACCAGATTGATATGTCGAGCTTTCCAACAAAATGTCATTGATGTAGAGATAGTTGTTGGTCAACATGTTGGAAAAAGAGTGTTTTTACCAAGAATTTATCTATGTCCATCTGATGATGAGATGTTCCCATTCAAACTAAAGAGAAAGCAGTTTCAATTCAGTTTAGTTTCTCTATGACAATCAATAAAGATCAAGGATAAACAATTCCAAACATAAGTGTTTATCTACCAGAATCGATATTCTCACATGACCAACTTTATGTGGTGTTGTCTAGAGGAATGTAACGTGTCAATACTAAGATATTAGTAAAGACGGAAAAAACGTTTGATGATGATGGAATCTATACATTAATTGTTGTGTACAAAGAAGTTTTATGTGATTAACAAGGTATAATCAACAACTTATTATTTTACAAGTTCTTTAAATATATATCTTATATGCTCATTTGATGTTTAATGCAGTGCTATTAGATGAAATTCCAAATGTATACTCAACTTCTGTCGTATTGTATGACTATGCACCTAGCTAGAAACTATCCGCTGAAATGAACTATTCGCAAAATGGTTTACCAAAAGACCGCAATGAATAGCTCACGTCTAACACATCACACAATCATCACATTAAAACTAACTTCCAAAACAAACTATTTGTCGCCCGACGTTTGGCGCGGGTAAACAACAAGTATATATATATATATATATATATATATATATATATATATATGTAGAGAGAGAGAGGGAGAGAATCTCTAGTGAACCATATATATATATATATATATATATATATATATATATATATATATATATATTATATATATATATATGTAACTTCGATTTTTGATCTTCATGCCCTGTATATCCAAACATGTTTAGGTCGGGAAGAGAGGGTTTAAGGTAATGTAGTATTAGTTTGAATATTGTTTGGCTTGTTCAAAGCATTTGATTTTAGATAGTAATTTGGTGCATTTGATATCATAAGGCTTTTAGGTTGTACGACATTTGGTTTGATGTTTTTTATTTCTTTAGTGTTTCATCTTTTATATGAGCAAGACTTCGTTCGAGTAAGGTGTCAGTTTAGTTAGTACTAGTCTTATAGTATGCGAGTATTTTTACACAAGGCGATAATCATTTAAGGCATATTTGTGAAGATTCATTTTTAAAACTTTATCGATTAATTTTTGAAATACTTAAAAGGGAACTTGATGAGTGTGTAGGTTTGTATTATACGGTATTTGGGTGATTTGATCAATCACCATCTGCTTCATGAATGAAATCTGAGAGACATAGATAGATTCTTAAG